GCCAGGGCAGCGCTGGGGCCGAAGCTGGCAGCCAGGAATTGAATCCAGGTCTTTCAGGTGGGTGGCAGGGACCCGGCCACGTGGGCCTCCCAGGGGCCATGTGGGTAGGAAGCTGGAGCCACGGCCTCCGCCGTGGGACACAGGCACCCTGGCCCGCCCTGATCCGCACGGTTTTGTCAACGTGGACATCACAGGCCACAACCACCACCCCTTTAAGGCGGGCAGTCCAGTGCCCCGCGGGGTCAGAGCTGCGCAGACAGCGCCTCTCATCGCCTCCAGAGGGAAGTCCAGGCCCTCGCAAGGTCAGCACTGGACGTGTTGGCCCAGCTTTATAAACTTTTACTTTTAAAATGCATCTGGGAGGCAGAGCAGCAGAAGGCGAAGACAGGTTTTTCCATCGAGTAGTTCACTCCCCACACGCCTACCATGGCCAGGCAGGGCCAGCCCAGAGCCAGGAGCTGCAGCTGGCTCTCCCTCATGGTGGCAGGGACCCGAGGACTTGAGCGCCACCCACCTCCCAGGTGCACGGCAGCAGGAGGCAGAGGCCCGCGGGCACCCACGCTGCGGCCTGCCCCGCCCCTAACTCTGGATGTGCTCCGGTGCTTTTAGGAACCTGCGACCAGATGACGGAGTGTCACAGGAGCCACACAGTGGTCAACGCTGGCTTCTCCACACGGAGGCCTCACGGGGGACTTACATTTTCTTTTTCTTCCTGCTTTTCTATATTTTCCCCAAAACCAAATAAACAGGTACTTCTTTTCCAATGATAAAGACAATTGTACACTCTTCTTCTTCTTCTTCTTCTTCTTTTTTTTTTTGACAGGCGGAGTGGACAGTGAGAGAGAGAGACAGAGAGAAAGGTCTTCCTTTGCCGTTGGTTCACCCTCCAATGGCCGCCACGGCTGGCGCACCGCGCTGATCCGATGGCAGGAGCCAGGTGCTTCTCCTGGTCTCCCATGGGGTGCAGGGCCCAAGCACTTGGGCCATCCTCCACTGCACTCCCGGGCCACAGCAGAGAGCTGGCCTGGAAGAGGGGCAACCGGGACTAGAACCCGGTGTGCTGGCGCCACAAGGTGGAGGATTAGCCTAGCGTACACTCTTCTTAAAAACAAAAGCCTGGGCCGGTGCCGCGGCTCACTAGGCTAATCCTCCGCCTGCGGCTCCAGCACCCCAGGTTCTAGTCCCCGTTGGGGCACCGGATTCTGTCCCGGTTGCCCCTCTTCCAGGCCAGCTCTCTGCTGTGGCCCGGGAGTGCAGTGGAGGATGGCCCAAGTGCTTGGGTCCTGCACCCCATGGGAGACCAGGGGAAGCACCTGGCTCCTGCCATCAGATCAGCGTGGTGCACTGGCCGCGGTGGCCATTGGAGGGTGAACCAATGGCAAAGGAAGACCTTTCTCCCTCTCTCTCTCTCACTGTCCACTCTGCCTGTCAAAAAACAAAAAACAAAAACAAAAAAAACACAAAAGCCTGGCTCACCCGGCACCCCCTCAGTGTGCAAGTGCAGGGCTGGACCCCCACCCCTGCCAGAGAATGGGATGGCCCACGCGGGGATGCTGCTCCCCAGGCCCCTGCACAGCGTCTGAGCCTGACCCTAGCAGGTTCCACTCCAAGCTTCCGCTGGGAGGGGCAGGCTGCCGCTGCTTTCCCACACGGTCACATCTCCCCGGCAGGAACCCCACCGTGGGCGGACCGGAAGGAAAGCAGAGTCAGAGCCCCCAGCGCTGAGGGCGGCGCGGGCAGTGCAGGTAAGGGGCGAGGCCTGGATCCACGCCCCCTCTCAGCCACCGACTTGGGCAAGGGCAAACACTCTGGTTCTCCCCTGCCCGGGTGTGTGGGGCACAGGGGCAGCGGCCAGGCGGCACCCCGTGCAAGGCCCCTCAGGCCATTCACACCTAAATGAGCTAAAACCAGATGAATCCCCCACCCCAGTCCTCGGGCACACCCAGCTGTCAGGACCATGAGTGGCTCCTGGCTTTTCCCAACAACTCCACGCTCAGATGCCGCCGGCACCAGGGCAGACCCGGGAGACCTCCCACAGGGGCTCCCTGGACAGCAGCTCAGAAGGGCACGGGCAGCAGGCTCCATGCGGCTGGACCCAGAGTGCCTGGGTGAATCGGGGAGAGCAGAAACTCCCCCCACCCCAGCCCAGGGCTGGCGCTGTGGCTCAGCGGTGAGAGCCACGTGGGAGACCCGGGAGCCCCCACCCTTCCCCAGCCAGGAGAGCTGAACCTCCGCCCCACGGTGGCCCTGGGTGCAAATCCTGCGCGCACTCATCTCAGCCCGACCAGGGGAAGGAAACCATTTGCCACGGCATCCCGGGTCTTTCGGGGGAAATTAAAGCCCCCAGACTCTAAGGGCTCTCAGCTCCGAAAGGAAAGCACGGGATCAGGAAGGGGGGTGGCTGTCGCCCCAGAACACAACTCCACCACACTGGAGGCTCCCAGGCCCTGGGGTCAGCAGCACCGGGCATCCACCTCGCCACGACCACCTGAGACCTCGTCCACCGGAACCCAACAGGAGGACGAGGTCCTGGGGGGACCACAGCACGGCACAGGAAGACGCACAGGTGACCTGCGGGCTTCCCACCGGGATGCTGCACGGACCAGAGGGGCGGATAGTGCGGAAGGCCACCGACCCCAGGAACCCCGGGTGCCCTGGGACCACACCCGCGGGGACTGCTTGGCGGCACGCAGGTGGCAGAACACACAGATACCTGCGCTGGGCTTTCCTAGATGGGCACGTGTGCCTCAGCGATGCCGGCGGGACCAGTGGCAATCTGTCTGGCGTGCTCGCCGCGGCGGGCTGCGCTTTGGGCAAGAACTCGGGCTACAGCTCAGAGTCTGCTGTTCTTCACTGCAGACACTGCTGGGTCCCTGGATTTAACGGAGTGGAGAGGAAAGTCAACACGGAGGCAGCCAGCAGCGGGCCTCGGAGCCCCTTCTGCTCCCGCCTAGGCCAGCTCTGTCCCTGCAGACTTCTGCGCTGTCCCGTGGGCCGGCCACCAGCCGCGAGAGCCCACCTCGGGGACTTCTCCCGGGCACCTGGCTAGCAGCGCCTGAACTGCGGTGAGTCCAGGCGCTTGTTCCCGGCTTGCCCAGAGGTGGCTCAGGACAGCAACACGTGGGGACACTGGCACTGGGCACGGAGTCCGGGGCGCAGGCCAACCTGGCAAGTGCGCCCACAGAGCCGCTCTGCACGGCACCCGCCGGCCAGGTGTGTGCAGCTGAGATCTGCGCCCGCCCGGCTGGGACCCGGGGCAAAGGCATTTCAGAGAGTGGATAGTGGGGGACCCAGCGGGGTGGGGGTGGCCTCGCGTCAGCAAGGCTCTGCCCCGTATCCCCACCCAGCGTCCGCGCTCGCAGGACCCCAGGGGACACCTCCGAGAGCACCCGGCGGGGGCCTCACGGCCCGGAGGGGGCGCTCTCCGGCCACAGCACAGACCTGGAAGGAGGGCAAACGGCGATACCCAAGTAGCCGAGCCAGAAGGCTCACACACCAGTGTGTGAGCAGAAGCCTACAGCTCCAGGCTAGAGGTCGCCGCCGGGGAGCCAGGTGAGCCACACGCCGCGTGCACCTGCCCAGGCCTGCAGCCAGCCAGTCCCCAGTCCCCGCGGACGGCCCCCGTGGCCTCCGTCGGCTGGACAAGGCCCCGGGGATGCCGGAGGGCAGCTCCCCGCCCAGTGAGCCCCTGGTTCAGGCCGACGGGAAAACCACGCTGGGGCTGTCTTAGCCGCATCCTCGTGGGCCCTTCCGGCCCCTCCCCCTGCCTGATCCCGAGTTTTATAAACAGACTACTTCCTGCCACTCGAGAGGAACGCTTGCATGAACGCCTGGAAACCCAGGCCGTAACCTCGGCCCACGGGCTGAGCCACGAGACGCCAGGGCCGGGGAGACACACAGCAAAGTCGGCCCTGCTCCTCGTTTGCATGCAAAAAACTCCCGAGGTCCGCGTCTCGGAGGGGCTGGGATCTTCCAGAAGTTCCCAGAAGACGCCTTAGTATGAAAAAAAAAAAAAAAAAAAAAAGCTCCGCACGGACTTAACAAGTTTGCACCTAAGCAAATGCGTCCTTTAATTCAACTGCCCGTGCACCGATCGGAAGTAGCCACAACACAGAAAAAAATCCTCTGTTCACCTGCCGGCCCCTGCGTCTCCCAGGCAGACGGCGGGGTGCTGGGGGTCCCAACGCGGCCCGGGCCCGGCCCCCCAACCAAGCGATCACCCCTGCCGGCCCCTGCGTCTCCCAGGCAGACGGCGGGGTGCTGGGGGTCCCAACGCGGCCCGGGCCCGGCCCCCCAACCAAGCGATCACGCACAACAGAGACGGCGCCTTTCCCGCTTAAGCCTCACCCGGGGGAATTAGAAAAATAAAAGGCAAGATGGAAACTCTGCTGTCCCAGCCTGCAGCCCAGGCGGCTCCGCCGACTCTCACGCGCGCGTGCACCCCCGCAGGCCTCCCACCGCCCGCCTCGGCTTCCCCGACCCCGGCTGCTCGGCGCTCCCGGCACACGCACGCCCGCGGCCCCCGAGCCGCGACCCACGCACCATTCATTGTCCCGCAGAGGTCACGTCAGAGGACTTCCGCGGCGCGCCCGCCAAGTCGCACGAGGCGTCCCGCGCGCCTGCAAGGCCGGCGGGCGAGCAGCTGCGGCCCGGCGAGGGTCCCGCGGAGACCGCGCCGCCCTGGCCGCCCCCCGGGCCCCCGTCTCGCCACGTGCGTCGGCCAGGCGGGGCGCGACCTCTGCGCCGCCCCCTGCCCGCCGGCGGCCCTGCGGGTCCCTAGGGCCCCGTGCGGCCCTGGCCGTCGCCTCTCCCTCCGGGCCCTCGCGCTCGGCCCAGGCCGCCGCGGCCCGGCGGCTCCCACCGCCGCGAGCCCGGGCGCGCGCGAGCCCCGGCGTGGGGTGAGGGCTGAGCAGCGCCATCCCCGCGTCCCGGGAGGCCCGCCGCGGCCCCCGCACCCCCGCGCCGCCCGCGCCCCGCCGGCGCCGAGCCCCGCGCCTCACCTCTCTCGGGCGCTGCCGCCGCTGCTGCCCGGGCCGAGACGCCTCCTTCCCCAGGCGGCCATCTTGGAGACACTCGGCTCGCCGGCGCCGGCGCGGCGGCCTGGGCGGGGCGGGCGGCGGCGGGAAATGTAGTCCGGGCGTGCGCTCGCTGAGGAGGCTGGGAAATGTAGTCCTGCGCGGACCCGCGGGGGCGGCTGGGAAATGTAGTCCGCGCCCGCGCTCGCAGGGACGGAGCCCGGGGCCCAGGGCGGCCCCCGCCGCCGCCACCGCCCCCCGAGTGTGTGGGCGCCCACCCGCGCGGACGTTCTTGGGTGTGCAGAGCGCGCGGGCCAAGGGGAGCGGGAGGGAGGTGCCTACAATTCCCAGGGGTGCGTGGGCCGGGGGCTGGATCCGAAGTGGAGCAGCCGGGGCTCGAACCTGGGTCCATCTGGGATGCCTGCATCGCAAGCGGCAGCTTAACCTGCTGGCCCCCAAAATCAACACCTCTACATTCTTCCCTGACCGGGACCCCTGTCTGCAAGGGGGAATGGTGGAGGCCTGAGACCCCCAGGGGCCAGTCCCCCCCTTGCCACGGTCCAGCCCTCAGACGAGGAGGCCACAGCCCAGGCTGGGGGGAGGGGGCGTGGTGACGTCATGGAGGGCATCGGCAGGGAGAAGGCAGAAGAGGGGCAGTTTGGCAGAGAGGGCGGGGTGCAACCCCAGAGACCCAGAGCAGCCCTGCAGCTCATGGCACTGCACCAACTCTGTTCTTCAAATCGTTCAAGCCTGTAGTCCTGCCTCAGGACCTTTGCACGTGCCATTCTGGCTCCCTGACAGGTTCCTCCTCCTCCGGATACTTTCATAACTTGATCTTCCTAGTTAGGCACTCACCTGCTAGGAAAAAAGAAAAAGAAAAAAATACTTGGTGACAATAATTCACTTTCTCCTTATGCTTGTTGCCTCGGGGTCCCAACATGGCCACCACGCCTCCAGACATTCCATCCACATTCTAGATACTGCATTCCCTGACCTTCTGCCCCAAAATGCCTGACTAGATGCCCTTTTATTGATTTTTTAAAATAAATATTTGAACTATTTATTAAAAGGCGAGCTCCGGGCAAGATGGCCTGCAGTCTCCCAGACCCAGAGTTGGGGGTGGGGGCAGCAGCTGCCTGCTGGGGAGGGGTCGCCCACGGGGAGGAGCTTCCAATGCCTGTGGAGGTGGAGGAGGGGGCTGCTACCCCACCCCCGGGGCTGGCTCAGGCTGCTGTGAGTCAGCTCCCAGCAGCACAGCGGGGGAGGGAGCAGCAGCACCCGGCCCCCTCTCCATGAGTTCAGGCCCCGCCCCCTGATTGGACTTGAACTTGGGGGGGCTCCACCTCCCTGTCCACCAACCTCCTGGCATGTGGTCCAGGCACCTTTTCCAGTCACCGCCCAGCAGTCGCCTGGGGTGGGGGAGGGGACCGCGGGGTGGGGGCGGGGCAGGAGCCCCCTCTGGTCCCGGCACTGCCACCAGTGCTCTGATGTCAGCCTGAGGTCCCCACTGCGGGGCTTCACTGGGTTTTCCTAGGAAGGGGAGAGGGACATACGGGTCCCCAAGGCCCTGGAGCTGCAGAAAGAGAGAGAGAGAGAGAGGTCTTCCATCTGTTGGTTCACTCCCCAGATGGTCTCCCACGTGGGTGCAGGGGCCCAAGGACTTGGGCCATCTTCTACTGCTTTCCCAGGCCATAGCAGAGAGCTGGATTGGAAGAGGAGCAGCCAGGACTTGAACTGGCGCCATATGGGATGCCGGCAGTGTCACAGGCGGTGGCTTTACCCGCTCTGCCACAGCGCCGGCCCCTTGTGCCTCTGTGTACCCAGTCTGATGGGCTCACCCAGGAGACACACCCAGCCTGTGCCTCTGGCTCGCCCTCTGGGCTCACACCAGACATGGTCAGGACCCCAAACCTTGCCTTACCCCACGGTGTGCACGCTGGGGTCACCCTGCCTTTGGTGACCATGGACAGCGCTGGGGAACACACGGCGGCGCTCAGGCCCTGCTGACGCCCACACAGGCCCCTGCCTTTTGGAATCCACATGCTGTGACCCCGCCACGTCTTGTTCCAACCCCTAGAGATCTGGTGACCATCCTCCCAGGTCCCCTGGTCCCTTCAGTCACCCCCTCAGGCAGGACGGGGTCTGGAAAAGCCCCTCTGTCTTCCCACAGCCACAGCGGGCCCTCTCTCTGCGGCTGGGGACAAAATTGAATTACAAGATCTATTTAGGGGCTGGCGCTGTGGCATAGCAGGTAAAGCCGCCGCCTGCAGTGCCAGCATCCCATATGAGCGCTGGTTCGAGTCCTGGCTGCTCCACTTCTGATCCAGCTCCCCGCTAATGCACCTGGGAAAGCAGCAGAAGATGGCCCAAGTATTCTGGGCCCCTGCCACCCACATGGGAGACCCAGAGAGAGTTCCAGGCTCCTGGCTTTGGCGTGGCCCAGCCTCAGCCATTGTGGCCATTTGGGGAATGAACCTGCTCGCTCTCTCTCTCTCTCTCTCTCTCTCTCCCCTCTCTCTCTCTGGTTTGCTGTCATCTTTTGCACCTGCTCTGTGGCTCTGTGTCCTGCCCCCCGCCCCCCGAGGCCACCTGAGCTTACGGCAGGGAGGGTCCCGTCCGTGCAGGGGCCTCTCTCTCTCCAGGTCTGGCACACAGAGCCACCAGGTGACGTTCTGGTGATGCACAGTCCTCTAGTGGTGGCCGACGCTTTGCCAGCTCTCACCCTGCAGAGCTGGGTGAGAAAGCATTGCTCACGCGTGTACCCCACGGCCCCCCAAGTCCAAGGTGGGGACCGCCGTGGCTGGGGTGCTCCGGGAGGATCCCGGAGCGCTGGCAGGCTGGCTGCAGCTTCAAGTCGCAGGCTGTCACGTGCCAGCCCAGCCGCCCTACTCTGCATGGCGCTTCCATGGTTCCGGTCTCCAGAGGCCCACGGCGGGGAGGGTGGCTCCACCCGGCCGGGCCTGGGGCTCAGCAGCCGGGGCCAACGATGACCCCTTCTGCCTCAGGACCACCAGGCCCTCCCGTGCAGGCCAGAGCTGGTGTGGCCGTTCACGGGTCAGAGGGTGGCCCTTCCTCCATCCAGGCATCATGTACAGGAAAGAAAGTAGAAGAGGCTGATTCAGCTGTTTCCACCACAGGGTGCTGGGGGGGGGGGGGGGACAGATTCCAGGTGCCTGGGACAAGAGGGGAGAGAGCCAGAGAGCGAGAGAGCGAGAGAGCGAGAGCTTTCATCCTCTGGTTCACTTGCTAATGTGTGCAATGCTCGCTGCTGGGCCAGGCTGAAGCCAGAAGCCTGGAACCCCATCTGGGTCTCCCTTGTGGGTGCAGGGGCCCAAGCACTTGAGCCGTCATCTGCTGCTTTCCCAGGTGCATGAGCAGGGAGCCAGACCGTAAGAGGCAGAATCCAATCGCATGCATTCCGATACAGGATGCGGCTGTGCCCAGGGCGGTCCCCACTCTGTACCACAATGCCTGCCCCCCGGAGCTCTGGTGGTCTCAATAACATGTTGTAGAAGACCTGCCCCAGGGCCAGCGTTGGGTGTAGCAGGTAAAGCCGCCACCCTCGACAGCAGCACCCCAAATGGGCAGCGGTTTGAGTCCCAGCTGCTCTGCTTCCCATCCAGCTCTCTGCTAGGGCCTGGGAAAGCAGTAGAAGATGGCCCAAGTGCTTGGGCCCCTGCACCCACGTGGGAGACCTGGGTGGAGTTCCAGGCTCCTGGCTTCAGCCTGGCCCAGTACTGGCTGTTGTGGGCATTTGGGAAGTGAACCAGGAGAAAGAAGCTCTCTCTGTGTCTCCTCTCCTCTCTCTGCGTAACTCTGACTTCCAAATAAATACGCAGGTCTTCAAAACAAAACAAAACAAACAGCCATGTGTGCAGGATGCATTCTAAGGAAAAAGGAAAACAAATTTTTTAAAGATTTATTAATCTATTTGAAAGAAGATTAACAGGCAGAGGGAGAGAGAGACAGAAAGGTCTTCCATCCGCTGGTTCACTCCCCAGATGGCTGCAACAGCTGGAGCTATGCCGATCCAAAGCCAGGAGTCAGGAGCCAGGAGCTTCCTCCAGGTCTCCCATGTGGGCGGCAGGGATCCAAGGACTTGGACCATCTTCCAGGTGCATTAGCAGGGAGCTGGATCAGAAGTGGAGCAGCCAGGACTCGAACCAGCACCCATATGGGATGCTGGCACTGCAGGCGGCAGCTTTACCCACTATGCCACAGTGCCAGCCCCCAAAACCAATCATTTTAAATGTGTGCTTATACTCTGTTGTATGTGGGTGTCTGCAGCCGATACCTCAGGAAACACCAGTAACAGCCACCCAGGGAGGTATTGCTAAGGATGGAGTAAAATAAACGCATCACTGCATATTATTTTATAATATGAATTGCATATCACTATATTTCCCAATTAGAATTTAAATTCTATTTTAAATATTAGTGTGAGAAGCAGACACACACACACACACACAAAGAGAGAGAGAGAGAGACAGAGAGAGAGAGAGATCCTCTCCACTGGTTCACCCCTCACCCCCCAAATTCCCACAATGGCCAAGGCTGGGCTAGGGTTGAAACTGAGGAGCTGGAAACTCCATCTGGGTCTCCCATGTGGGAGACAGGAGCCCAAATGCTTGGGCCATCCCTGCTGGCTCCCAGGGTGTGCAGTAACAGGAAGCTGGAGTCGGGAGCTGGAGCCAGGAATCGAACCCAGGGACTCCCAGACGGGACACAGGTGGTCCGAATGCCGGCCCCAAATTACCTTTGCTTCCAGTTGTCCAAAGGGTATTTGTGACCCTCTCGTATAAAACCAAAGATACGTTTTGGGAAGAGTTGCCTTCCCTGGGTGTACCCAGTACTGTTTAAGGAGCTCATACTCCCTGCCCCCGCTCCGGACACCTGCAGGCCAGCTGGTGTGTGATGGCTTCTCCCGCCTCCGTCCCCAGCCATGCCCAGCAGCCTGCAAACTACATCTCCCAGACTCCCTCGCCCGCTGGCTCTGCCCACAGGAGGCCCTCCCACACCCCTACTCCCCATCCCACCCCACCCCACCCCACCCCTGGCTGGACCTGGGCCCTCATGCCACCAGCAGCTGTGCAGTGGCGACCCTAGCAGGTGTTCCCCCAGCAGGTGTGGCTCCAGGCTCCTGCTTAGCAGTGCAGGGACCAAGGCTTCTGGAAACATTGTTTTTATTTATTTATTTATTTATTTTATTCTGCCTCTCCAGCCTGGGGGCTCTCTCAGTACCTCCCAGCTCTCTGCCTTCTGGGAGCTTTGTGGACAACACCTCATGTTGACACCTTCCACTTGTTCCAATCTCAATGACCCCCTACCCCCTTTTTACAGTTGAGAAAGCTGAAATTCCAGAAAAAAGGCAACTTAACCAAAGGCAAGCTAAGAACTGCTCCACCTCAAGGTAGTCACCTGCTGTGCCTCAAGGTGTTCAGTCCCCTGGGCCTGTCACCAGGACACACCAGACCCCCTCCTGACCTGGAGTGACACAATGTATTCTCTTCATGCTGGACTAGCTTGCTCTTCACCACCCCCCCCCCCCCAACAAGCTTTGATTGTTTTATTTATTTGAAAGGCAGAGAGACAGAGAGAGAAACAGAGATTTTTCCACCCTCTGGTTCACTCCCCTAAAAGACCACAACGGCTGGAGCTGCCCATGCGGGTGCAGGGCCCAAGCACTTGGGCCTTCCTCCACTGCACTCCCGGGCCACAGCAGAGAGCTGGCCTGGAAGAGGAGCAGCCAGGACTCGAACTGGCACCCATATGGGATGCCAGCACTGAAGGCGGCGGCTTTACCCTCTACATCACAGCGCCAGCCCCAGGGCACTGTGTCTTGGGCCTTAAGTTCTGGCAATGCTGAGCTGGAAGGCAGGGGTGGAGGAGAATCTTTTCCCTGCCAAGGGCCGCTTGGATGCTGATCACATCATTCATGGGCCACAGGAAATGATCAGCTGAAACATTAGCCTCTCTGGATCTATTGAGTATGGAGGTTCACCTGCGGTGGTCTTGGCAGGACCAGAGCAAATGATTTTTGTGGGCATTATATGGCCCGTGGGCCAGATGCTTTGGGAATGCTTTGGGGGTGTTGGTTAGAATCCCATCCCATCCATCCATCTACAATTTCCAGCCAAGCACTGGTCTAGATGCTAGGATACTGCAGTGAACAAAATGGAAAACAAAACAAATCCCTGCCTATTCCAGGGAGAGGCAAGTAATGAGTAACAAACAAGAGAAAATAAACAGTATGTATTACATAAGAAGAAACCAGGGTTTGGACAGATAGAGCACCAGGGAGTTGGGAGTGGAGGGGAATGGAACTGTAGACGGGGGCGGGCGAGAACAGGCCTTCCTACGGCCTCACTGAGAGGGTGGTGGCCGGGCCAGGCCTGAAGAAAGTTGGAGAGGGGCCAGCACCGCGGCTCACTAGGCTAATCCTCCGCCTTGCGGCGCCGGCACACCGGGTTCTAGTCCCGGTCGGGGCGCCGGATTCTGTCCTGGTTGCCCCTCTTCCAGGCCAGCTCTCTGCTGTGGCCTGGGAGTGCAGTGGAGGATGGCCCAAGTGCTTGGGCCCTGCACCCCATGGGAGACCAGGAGAAGCACCTGGCTCCTGCCTTCGGATCAGCGCGGTGCACCGGTCGTAACATGCCAGCCGTGGCGGCCATTGGAGCGTGAACCAACGGCAAAGGAAGACCTTTCTCTCTGTCTCTCTCTCTCTCACTGTCCACTCTGCCTGTCAAAAAAAAAAAAAAAAAAAAAAAAAAAAAAAAGTTGGAGAGGAAAACCCTGGGTGGCAGGGTGAGAAATCGCGGGAGGCCGGAGTATGGCCTTGACACAGGCTGTTCTGGGGTCTTTTTGACCCCAGCCCACTTGTCCCTTCTTCCATGTCCTCCATGTCTGGGCTGTCACTTTGCAGCACGAGAGGACGTCCTCTCTCACCCCCTCCGCTGCACTGTCTCAGCGGCCCCGCCTCCTCCCTGGCCACTGAAAGACTCCGCCCCTTCCGGGAGGATTGAGCCTCCTGTCCCCACAGGCGCTAGGAAGTTCTCTGGACCGGGTTTTGGTTCTCAGGCAGCAGGTCAAGCCCCGACTTGCTCCTCCTGCCGCCTCTCCTCTTCCTGGATTCCAGGAGGGAGGAGAGGCCGACCCTGGGCACCCTGATCTAGTAACTCCCAGCGGTCAGGGCAGCCGCTAGGACTAACCCTCCCCAGGGCCCCCCTCCCACGGTCCACCCCTCCCCAATCCAGAAAAACCTCTGAATCTCACTGGGTCAGATCTTGTACCACATCCATGTTTGCTTGGCCTGCAAGGGTCTCCCTTGACCTCCCCAGACAGGGGGCTTTTCCTCATAAGCAGAGACACACACGCTGGGATGTCGGGTGGGTTCTGGGGCCCACCACTCTCCAGCCGTCGGCAACGGTGGATGGGGCCGGGGCCCCACACCACACCACCAGCTATGAGCAGCTTATGTGTCCACCGACAGCCGGGTCATCAGGAGAGCTTGTCGGGGGGTGCGGGCTCTGGCAGGAGGTGGGATTGGGGGTGGCCGGGGGGTGGCGGTGATGAGCCCCCTGCACACACCCCCAGCAGCCTCGTGTGGAGTCAGCTGCCTGCACCCTCAGGGAGCGTCCTCCGCTCACCCTCACTGCCTGTCTGTGAGCTTGCGGCTTGCGTAACCAACCCCCTGCTGGGAGCGCCCAAGCCCTTCTCACTCTGCTGAGTGGCGCAGAGATCACCTTCCAGAACGGTCCCTCAAAGCTGGGGTCTGCCCCGGTTTGGGCTGGAAAGCGGGCATGACCTCGCTGTCGGGTAGGAGTAGGGAATTCGTCCCACACCCAAGTTCACGTGCTGGAAACTTAATCCCCAAGGCGGCAGTGTTGAGCGGGGCAGGGTGGGGGCTCACAACTGGACAGCTATCATACCCTGGGGTGGGATCCACAGGCTCGCTTGCCCTTCTGTCTCCCCTACCGTGGGGTGACCTGGATGAAGGCCCCCTGACCTCCCAGGGCTCCTGGGCTCTAAGAAACAAATCCGCAGCTACATAAGCTATCCGGCTTCAGGTACCATCCCAGCAGCACAGACAGGAACTTTATCACCCGTGGAGAACACTCAGAGCACAAGGGCCCCTTATCACGGTCAAGGTCACCTGGAGACTCCAGAGCCCCCCCCACCGCCTGCCGGGAATGTTGGCGGAAACAAACAAGACACCGTACAGACAACGAGACGGTGTCCTCGACAACCAGGAAAGAAATCTCTTTAATATCTCGCAGACGTTAAGACGGATACAGCTGGAAAAAAACAAAAAAAAACAAAAAACGGAAAACCCTCCATCCGACCCTGCGCGGGCCGCAGTCACAACGCGAGAACTCACAGCCTCGCCGGATCTCTGGTGTGGAATTCTGGGCACTGATCTGGAAGGAGTGACACCCTGAGAATAGCACAGAGACTCTTGGGGTGCACGGGGACAAGCCTGAGAGTCCTGGGCTGATGGGGGCGGGGAGGGGTGTGGGAGCGAGGGCAGCCGCTCCGGGGTCCCGCTGCGTGCAGCCCAGCCACGCACCTGTTGCTCGCGTGCACAGCCCCATGGCTGCCTTGCAAGGGAGCAGGGGACCCGCACCTGCATCTGTTTATTGCTTTCTGTGGCCACCTGTCACCTAGATGCTGAGACCCTGCAACACAGGAGCCCAGGGGTGCCATGGGCAAGGGGTGGGGGGGAGACAGCAGGGGCAGGTTTGTACCCCAGGGCCGCTCCAGCTGTGTAGGCCTGTGATCACACCCCCGCCCCCTTCGGAGCCTAAGTCTTATCCTTTGTCCAACAGACCTAGCAGCTGGCAGCTCCAGGAACAGCTGGGAGAGAGAAGTGAGGGTGGCCTTGACCCTACCTAGGAGGGAAAAAAAAAATCCCTAGGCAAGGGCCTGCGCTGACCTGGCCTGTGGCGGCTCCAGGCTGCTGGGCCAGGGATGGGCGTGGGGGGGGGGCTGGGATCTGATGCTGCCGCACCCCATGCTCTCACCTGGAAGGCGAGGCCACTTCCCCTCCAGGTTAAATAGAACCACAGCAGGACACCTGCCGAGCCCGCCTGCTCCTTGGTCACACCCCAGAGCTCCCTGGCTGTTAAAAGTGGGGTGACGGCTGTCAGAGTGAGACCGGGCCTGCACGTGGACCTCCATGCCCGCCCCTCCCCCAGCTCCGGCCCTGGAGTTGGTGGCGAGCCATGCCCCTTCCAGACAGGCATCACGCAATGAGCAGGTGCAGGGAGCAGCCGGGGCCCACGGCAGGTCCTGAGTAGAAAGGCACGCAAGTCCTCACCTGTTCCCACCGGCCGAGGAGGAGCAGTGTCCAACCTCGTGCCCCTGCCCCTGCCGAGGGTCTCGTCCCAGCCGTGTACTGGCCCCCAGTGACCAGAGGGCTCCTGGGGCGTCTCGGGCCGGGGCGGGGTGCGGGTGAGGCTGGGACGCCAGAGGGGATGGGATAGCACCAGAGGACAGGCCAGCCATGGCCGTCAGGATATGTTGGCTGAGGGGTGGATGGGAGCGGGGAGGGTCTCCCCTGCGGGACCCCAAGGCCCGTTGGTCAAGTACTTGGAGCACAGTCACCTGTTAGGGGACACAGTGTAGGTCAGGTGGCTCCTGGCTACTCCTCGCCAGGTCACTGTGCCACAGGCATTGGGGAGTCTGTGCAGTGTGTGTGTGTGTGTTGGGGGGACAGGGGGTGATCCCAACGAGGGACCCCCTCCCGAGCCCGTGGCCTGCTCTCTCCTTGACCTGCTTGGTTGGGAGGGCACATGGGACAGCGGAGCGGGCCTCCTGCAGCCCTGGGTGACACGGGCTAGGGACGACAACCACTGCTAGTCCGTAGCGCTGTGCGTGTGTGCGCATGCTCAGACTGGTGAGAGAGCGCCCGTGCACACGTGGCTGGGATGGGGACCAAGTAGAGCAGGGGTCTCAGCGCCAGCACTGGGTACAGAAAGGGTGGAGACCCTGGGACCTGAGAAAACCAACAGAAACGCCCCCCCTTGCCCATAGGAGGGCCGAGGCCACTCTCCCCCTGCCCCACCTCCAAGCCCCAAGGTATCCTTGGGCCCCACAGCCGCCTGAGCTCAGCCCCTGGAGCTGGCTCCTGGTGGACGGGCCGGTGGGGGCGGGGACCTCCATGTCCCGCATGTTCGCATGTGTGCGTGCGTGCATGTGCGTGTGTGAGTGTGCGCGGCTGAGCCTGGGCTGGCGCTCAGTCCCGGCTCTCCTTGGCTCTTAAACAGCGTCCGTGGGCGCTGGCTCTGGCCGCGCGGCACCTGCTGGGACACAGGATTCTGGGAAGGCGGGGGTGGGCGTGGGCGTGGGATGGAGTGGTGGTGAGCGCTGGTGGCAGCCGGGGCGCGGCGTGACCGCCCTCGGAAGTTGGCACGCGAGGTTTCTTATTGCTCCTTTTGACTTCAGGGGATGCCTTCCTGGTTCGAGCACAGACAAGACAGCCCCGAGGGGAGGGGGTGGTCACAGAAGGCGGGACCCAGGCCGCCCCAGGGTGGGGGATTGAGGGTGGGGGTGGGGCCCTGCGCGACGGCGCTGGCGGCAGGCTGGGGTCCGCGGGCCACTGGGAGCCTTGGACGCCCCTCGGCCCTGCTCCCAGGCACGTCGCCCATCCTCAGCCAGCCGCCTCCGGGAGCCTGACTGGGGGCCCGTGGACGCACGCCCCCGCCCACCCCGCAGGGACAACTCAGTCTGTGCCCGCCCCTGGCGCGGTCACGGCTGCAGGCGCTCCAAGTACTGCGGCAGGGGGTTCTCCTTGACGTACTTCTGGATGTACCAGCACGTGAGGTGAGCTTTCAGGTTCTCCTCCACCACGAAGTCCAGGGCAGCCTGGGGCCAGGGAGGGGGAAAGTGGGGGGCAGTCAGACCCCGCAGCGGACATCCCAGGGCCTGTGCCGTCATGGTCTCACAAAAGATGACGCCAGCCCTCGCCTTCACAGGTACAAGCCCGCAGGCACTACTTCACTCCAGAGCCGCCCTGGGGCGGAGCAGAGGCCAGGGTGGGTGGGCAGAGGCCGGGGCCAGCTTGGAGGGCCATTCTCTGCTACAGCAATTCCCCTTGTCAAGCTGGAGCCGGCTATCCAGGCAGCTAGGGTGGGATGAGCCTGTTTGTGTGAACACCTCCCACCCCCGCTCTCCAAAGTTTTTCTGAGCACCTGCTACCTGCCAGGGACTAGGGTCCTAGGATGGGAACGGGTGGCCCAGAACGCTCTTGCCCACACAGAGGTGTGAGGTGACCCTAGTGGGATCACCTGTGCTAGGGGCCTGCAGAACAGAAGCCCTGACCCAGAACAGCCGCTGGCAACCCTGGGAGAAGCTGAGGAGCGTACCCCCTTACCTTGGCCAGGTGCTTGGCGATGCCTCGGCCGCGGTAGGCATCGGGGACCTCGGTGTGCTGCAGGTCCACGATCCGCTTGCCCACATACTCGTAGAGCAGGACAGCCCGGTCATGGCAGCCTGGGCAGTGGGGGTGGGGCGGGGGGAGAAACAGGTGCACTTAGGGACGCCTGAGACCGGAGGCACTCAGGTGCCCCAGGTGTTGGGAGCCATACAGCTGCTGGAGTTGGATCCTGAGCAAACCTCTCCACACCCAGGCTCTGTGACCGTCAGTGGGGTGAGCGGCAATGCCCCTGCCCCTGCCCCCTGCCGCCTTTCGCCCCCCCCGCCCACCCGGTGCATGCCTCGGCTACTCCCATCAGTGGCAGCTGCCCCACCTGAGCCCCCTCCCAAGGTCTGAGAGGCCCAGTGCAGGCCACCAGCAGGGCAACTCCAGGAGATTGGGACGAGGCAGAGGTGCGGCAGCAGAGTCCATGCTGACCCAGCACTGGCCCATGAAGCCAGGGCAGACAGGTGCCCACGCCTCCTCGCCAGGCCTGTGAGAACTGCAGCTCACTTGTCTCCACCCCTACCACGTTCCCAGGGGAGAAACACGGAATGGGAGTCCCCTAACCACATCCTCACTGCCCCGACTACCCACCCCTCCACCCATGCCCCTGCCCACCATCTATTAACCCACCTGCTCCCCCACCCTTCAGTCCACTCATGCATCCAACCATCCATCCAACCATTCACCGACCCATCCATCCATTCAACCATCCATCTACCCATACATCAAGTCACCCATGTATCCATACAGCAAGTCATCCACCCACCCACCCACCCATTCATTCACCTCCCCGTCCTTCCACACATCCATCCATCCATTCATGAACACATCTATCCATCCAACCACCTGACCACTCATCTGTTAACCTATCTACTCATCCACCCTTTGATCCACTCATGCACCCAACCACCCACCTACCCATGCATGCATGCATCTGTTCATCAATTCAACCATCCACCCACCCATTCATACCCATCAATTCAACCATCCATCTACCCATTCATACTCCCATTCATTCACCTGCCCACCATTCATCTGTCCATTCATCTATCCACTGACCCATTCACTAACAGATCCAGCCAGCCACCCACCCATTCATTGACCTATAGATCCACTCTAGCCCAGCCACCCACCCACTCACCAACCCATACACTTGCTCATCAAGCCATGCCTTACTTCTGTCCACTCTAAATCCACACATCCACCCACCAAACGGTTACTGAACACAGAGAGGGCTTTAGGTACCGGGACAAAGCAACAAACAAGCCAATTAAGAAGTCCTGGTTTCCTGAAACTGACACGGAGGGGGTCAAGGCAGTGAACAAACAAAGCAAGCAGGCAGGGATGGAGCAGCAGTGCCAGGAGTCCTGGGTGGTGGACAGAGACAGGAAGGAGGAGAGGGTGGAGGTCACGTGACGTCTGAGGGACCGGTGTCGTAGGCAGAGGGATCGGCCAGTGCAAAGGCTCTGAGGTGCGATATGGCTGAGCCGGAACACGCGCATTACGGTACATGCAACGTGTGTGGGTCTCTGCTCCCACGTGAGCCCAGAGAGACGTGCTTAGGGACTCCTCTCAGGGTGGCACGTTCGGTCCCCGTCCTCCACTTTCCTACAAATGTCTTGTGATAGGGACAGCAAGAGGGGCTGGGGTGGCTGGAACGGACAGGGGGAGGCTGGGAGAGCCGAGGGCAGGGCGGAGGCAGGAGCTGGCAGCCGCAGGAGGGTCCTCCGTGGAGGAGGCACGGGGATGACTTGTGACTTCCCAGGATCCGTCTGGCTGCAGAGAGATGAGCAGGCTGGGGCAGGGGCAGTGACCGCAGAGGGTGGAGGCAGCAGGGGGGCTGATGGCTGACCTGGGCGTGGTCAACCAGAGAAACAAGAGTCCAGGGTAACACCAAGGTCTCGTGTCCAGCAGTCGCAAACGCAATGAATAACCCGGGAAGGGCCGTGAAGCCAGCAGGAGAGCACCTGTGAGCTGAGGGGTAAACAGGGAGCCCGCAGTGGCTGGGGGGAAGAGCCAGGTAAGCACAGGCTGAGGGCGTGGCCTGTGCCAAGGCCCTGGGGTTGGGAGACCCAATTCTCTGGCCCTGAAAGGGCTGCCTGTGTTTCAGAAACAAACCTTATTTTCATCGTCCTGACTCCCAAGCACTGGAGAACCTCCTCCCAAATGCTTCTTGGGCCCCCAGGTCCTAGCCATGGCAGGAGGAAGACTGATAGGAACACCAGAACAGGGCCCAGCCCAGGGAGGGTGCTTTCTGTTCCCCCAGCGCCTCCCATCTTCCCCCCAAAGCTCCAGGAGGCGACGGTCTCCTCCTCTGTGTCCAGTGAGGACGCTGAGGCCATGCGGCCTGGTCTCATGGTGGGTCCAGACCCGACCCACGTTCTCGACGACCTGCCTGCAGGCCCTGGCCTGGGGCACTCCCTCTGCCCGGGCTGCTGTCCCTTCTCTGCCCCATGCTCTCAGGCCCCCTGGCACCAGTGTCTCCCAGTCGTGGGGCCTGATGACCACTCTGTGGATCGTGCCTACTGCATTTGGGCGTGGCCCAAGCCATGGCCTCCGCTGCCGCCTGCCCTGGCCACATGGCACAGGCCTTGGGCCTCGGCTCTGCACCTGTCAGGGTTAATCCAGCCAGCAAACACTGGGACACTGTTCTGGCCCTGACCTGGTCACCCAGGGAGCTGCCTGGCCACACAGTGGGGAGGTCACCTCTCTGGAGCAAGGACCTGCAGAGATCCCCGGGTAGATCTGGAGACGGGCAGCCTGGGTGGTGGGAATGGCATGTGCAAAGGCCCTGGGGTAGGCTGATGAAAGAACAGCAAAGGAGGCCAGGGTGGTTAGGCGGGAATGAGTGTGTGTAGGGTATGTGTGTGTGTGTCAGGTCAGGGGGTCTCCTACAAATAGTCCTGACTCCCACAGCTCCACTCACACCCGGACAGGGAAACTGAGGCCCAGAGGGGCTGGGGGCTGGGGGGGTCTTGTCCGTGCTTCTGGTCCCCGTGGTCCCTGGAGACGGCTGAACATGGCCACACCAAGCTGGAGGCCCCGTAGCTCCCCTGAACTTGCTGATTTTCCATCGGGCGCTGAGCCCCAGCGATGTCCCCGGGGGAGTCGGGCACTGCCTCCCAGGGACGTCCCTGGGCGTGCCCAGGACCACGGGGCGGGGAGCCCTTCCTTTGTCCCTCCAGGTGAGCCCCAATGTCACTTCCCAGAGGCTTCCTCAGGCCGGTGTGGGGTCAGGGCGTCCACAGATGAGGAGACTGAGGCAGGGGCCCGGCCAGAACCAGGTCTCAGGGAGTGGAGGCGTGCGACCACCCACAAGCAGGTGCAGGAGCAGGTGTGGGGGGAGGGCCCCTCTGGGCTGCCTGCAGGTGCACAGCTTGGTTTGGGGGGGGGACGCGGGTGGCTTAGGGGTGGCCACAGGCCACTCCCTGCAGGGCCCTGGCCTGACGTGGCCTGACACAGCCAGCAGGCAGGCAGGCAGGACCAGCGGGAAGGGACTCCCAGCCCCAGCCCTCACTGAGCATGCTGGGATCTCAGCCCTGACTGGGGGGAGGGGGAGGAGGAAGACTGCCGGAGGGATCATGGGGAGGGGGCGGGGCCACAGCCTGCAGGTGACAGCCCTCCTCTGATGGAGGCGGGGCCTCTCTTCAGGCTCAGCCACCTCTCTTGCCTTTGTTTTCCTGGCTGTAGAATGGAAAGCTGCCCCTTACAGAGCAGACCTGGGGTCAGTCAACCCTGTGCTCAACTGCTCGGACCTGTGCAGTAGCCACCTTCCAGCTCCATCCTGCCCGCCGTAGTCTTGCTTCCTGCGGAGCCTCTGCTCAGGTCCTTCCTGGGAGCCCGTGTCACCCAGAGCCAAGGCCAGGTTCCCCGGGGTTCACACCTGTGAGCCCTGCACCATCTGTGCCCTCCACGGCCCAATCTCCTCTCTCCGTGCCTCCATCTCCTGCTGCTCTGAGCACCACAGGGCCTTTGCGCTTGCTGCTCCCTCCACCTGGACCACTCCCCTGCTGTTGCTCTGTTTCTCACCGTCTTCCGGGACCCCTGCGCCCTGCCACATTCTCCCCACCTAGCCCCCGGGGTCCTGGTTTTCCAAGACACATTCGACAATTCGCTCCATCTGCTGTCCCCTGGAACCTCCCCACTCCCCCAGCACCTAGAAGAGCAGTGCTCAGCACATCCTTGGGGCATGCGATCTCGGTTTTCCCACATGGGAGGGGCAAAGTCCCAGGGCAAGTCCCTGCACGTCTCCTTTGGGAACCAGGAGAGGGGTTTCCGGTGTCTCTCCAGGGATACAGCAAGTGCTCAATAAATGCAGCTGCTCAAACATCTTCCCTCATCCAGACACAGAGCTCGCAGGAAGAGAATCAGCCTAGCTCTGCCACCGGGGACAGCCAGGACACGGACACACACACACACAGACACCCAGAGCCACAGGGACAAGGCCCTTCCTCCCCTGCAGGGTTCCAAGGAGGCCAGATGCAAACAACACACTGGTTCCCCAAACACCCAGCTTCCGCCCTGCCAGGAGGCAGGTCCCAGAAAGAGGCAAGATGGGAACTGTGGCTGGGCAGGACCTGCAGGGCTGTCCTGTGGTCCGGCTGGAAGCCGTGGCTTGACCCGGTGCCCAGCACAGCCCAAATGCGGGTGGGCCTGGTGCCCAGCACAGCCCAAATGGGGCTGGGGGGGGGTGTCCTGCGGGGCGGCTGGGCCCCTCCTGACCTTGGCCAACCTGGGTCAAGCGCGGGTGGGGGCCAACTCCAACTCATTAGCCCCAACTGATTAGCTGACTTGAGACAAGTGTCTCCTTTACCTGGGCCTTTGCCTTCCTGGCTCAGAAATGGGTACAGTAACCCTTGGGAGCTCTCCTCGCTGGAACAGCCTTGGGGGGTGTTGGGGGGGGGGCGTACAGGGAGGGCCTGGTCCCGGAATCCTAATTCTGTCTGCCCCTAGAGAGAGGGCGGGTGTGGGCTGGTATAAAAGTTCTCTCCAGGAAACTGCTGCCACGCGCAGCACCAGCCTGGATCCTGGACGGACAACGCTCCCCGGGGGTGCTGGGGGAGAAACTAAGGCACGGGGGGGGGGCGAGGCACCCAGCCCAAACCTCAGAGCCGCTGGGGCAGGGGCAGGCCGGTGGGGGCGGTCAGCCCCAGTGCGCCCCCGGAGACGCCAAGACGGCCCGGCCCGGCCCGGGGCAGGTGCGGGGCGCGCGGCCAAGGCCGGGGACCCGCGCGCGCCCCCACCCCCCTCCCCGGCCCCGGCCCCGGCCCCGGCCCACCCCGCGCGGCCGCGACGCCTCTCCCCCGGGGCTGCGCAAACAAAAGGCGGGGGCGCGCGGCGCGTTACCGTTGAGCCGGACGGTGAACTGGCGGCGCTGCCGGTCGTGCTCCACGCGGATGGGGCAGCCCTGCTCCAGCGCGCCCGGCGGCGCGGCGGCGGCGGCGGCGGCGGTGGCGGTGGCCGCCGAGTGCGCCATCTGCGCGCGGGCCGCGGGCGCGGGCGGCGGCGGGGCGGCTGCGGGGCGGCGGCGGGGCGGCGGGGCGGCCGGGGGCGCGCGGGCGGCGGCCACACACACGCACAAAAAAGAGACGGCGGGGGGCGTCGGGGCCGCGGGGTCTCTGTGTCTGAGTGTCTGTGTGTCGGGGAGGGGGGCGGCCAGGAAATCAGCTGTGCGGTCACGTGCGGCGCGCAGCCAATGGGCGCGCGGCCTTTTTGTTTTGATACATTCCTGTCGGCTCTTAAAGGGGCCGCGCGCCTCGCGGGCCGCGTGCCGCTCGCAGCCCCAAACAAAACAACGCGCCGGCTGCTCCCCCACCTCGCGCGCTTTCTTAAAATAAATAAATAAATAAAATAAATATGGACACCCTCCCCCACCCCAACTTGGAGGGAAATTCTGATCGTCCTCCAAGGCAGCCAGCATTTATTTATTAGGCGCCTGCTGTATGCACCCAAGTTCTCAGGAGTCTGGGGCCGGCAGGGGCGCATGGCGCCATTTTGCCCAGGGAGCCCTGGAGGTAGGGGGCTTTATTTCAGCCCTGCCACTCAGCGCAGGCGTCTGCTGGTACTTTCTTGGGCACCCTTGTCGTGAGCGAACATTTATCGCCACCTTGTTGTTTTATGGATGCCTGTTCCGGAGAGGGTCTCTGTAGACCTGGACATGGAGGTGACATGGTGGTCAGCACACCAGGGGGACCCCTGCATCCCATATGACGGCACCTGGCAGGGAGCTCCAGCTCCTGCTAGTGCCTGGAGGGGTAGGTGGTTGGTTTATTTTATTTTATTTATTTATTTATTTATTTTTGACAGGCAGAGTGGACAGTGAGAGAGAGAGAGAGACAGAGAGGTCTTCCTTTTGCCGTTGCTTCACCCTCCAATGGCCGCCATGGCCAGCGCGCTGCGGCAGGTGCACTGCGCCTATCTGAAGGCTGGAGCCAGGTGCTTCTCCTGGTCTCCCATGGGGTGCAGGGCCCAAACACTTGGGCCATCCTCCACTGCACTCCCTGGCCACAGCAGAGAGCTGGCCTGGAAGAGGGGCAACCGGGACAGAATCTGGCGCTCCGACCGGGACTAGAACCTGGTGTGCCGGCGCCACAAGGCGGAGGATTAGCCTAGTGAGCCGCGGCGCCGGCCAGGTGGTTGGTTTAAAAACCCCGTGGGCGACCCGGGTGGCTCGTAGCTCATGGGTGGCTTCTGGGCTGGATTCCCAGTCTTCTGACTGGGGTGCGTTTAGTCTTGGCAGAGACCCCAGATCCGTGCCCGCGGTGGTCCCCATTGTGCCTCCCTCAGCCCCCAATTCTGAGTGTGGTGGGGATGGGGAGACCAAACACTACACTGGTTTCTCCGCCTCTGGGCTTTTGCACCTGCCCAAACAACACCTCCTCTGGGAAGCCCTCCTCCCTGCAGTCATAGTCATTTATTTATACATCTATCCCCAGCTGGCCTGTATTCTCTCTGATTAGTTTCTGCCAGGGCCCAGCATGTGCCAGGCTCAGATAAGAGCCAGGAGCTTCCTGCCTCTGGTTCCCTTCCCCCCCACCACCTTTTTTTTTTTTTTTTTTTAGAGAGAGAGGCAGCTTCCATCTGCTGGTTTACCCCCCCCCCCCCACAATGGCCACAAAAGCCAGGGCTGAGCCAGGGGAATCTGGGAGCCAGAGACTCCATCCTGGTCTCCCAGGTGGACAGCACGGGCCCAGCTGGAGCTGGGACTCCAATCCAGGTGCTGTGATGTAGGATGCAGGGGTCCCGGTGGGCGTCTTAACCGCCAAGCCAAACGCCTCCCCACCCGCGGCTGTGCGTGTCTCTTCCTTGTGGGGGCCTCCCCGCTCTGCAGAGACCCTCTCTGGAACAAGAGTCAGTAAAAGCATAAAGTGGCGATTAATGTTTGCCCATGACAAAGCGGTGATGAGTTGTTTGCGTGGTCTCTTAGGACACCTTGGGGAGGGGGTGCTGAGTGAAGGCGGGGCCTGGCGGGGCCGTGTGGAGAACAGGTCGCCGATACTGGGTATCATTTCTTCACTTGGTCATTAATTCACAGAGCAGATAGTGAGTGCCTCGTGTGTGCCGGGAAACAGGACAGGCAGGGACACCGTCGCAATGCCCTTCGGGAGCTTGGCAAAGACAGCAACACAGATCAGTGACCTGGAGGGAGGGTCAGCAGGGGCGGGAGTGGCCTGGGACCCACAGGAGAGACCACAGTGGGCACGGGAGGAGGGGGAGGGAGTTAGGAGGTGGAGCTGGGAAGACAGCCAGTGTAAAGGCCCTGGTGTGGGTTTAGGGACTCTGAGAGAGCCCATGTGACAGGTGCACGGAGTGTCTGGGGGTGGCGCCGGCGGGGGAGCTGTGGGTCCCTGGGTGAGACAGCCATGGAAGACTCGGGTGGGGGTGGGGTGTAGGGGGTTGGGGGGCACGCGTTTGGTGTTGTGCCGCTTGCTTGTTTTTTAGTATCTGGAAGATCACCCACAAGGGTCAGTAAAAGGGAGCAGCATGTGTCTGTCACACGGCAGAGGTTTGGCTTTTGCTGGAGGTGATTTAAGGTGGTGTTTGTGCTGCTGCAGGGCAGAACTTCCTCCTTTGGGACCTCAGTTGAGGCCACTGCTGGGGATGCCTGCCCCTCTCTGGAGCGCTTGCCTTCAGTCTCACCTTCTGTTCCCATCTCATGGGCTCCCTGGGAGGCATCGAGTGGTGGCTCAAGTCCCTGGGCCCCTGGCACCCACGTGGGAGACCACGATGAAGCTGCTGGCTCCTGGCTTTGGCCTGGCCCAGCCCTGGCTGTTGCAGATATTTGAGGCGTGAACCAGCGGATGGAAGATCTCTCTCTCCGCTCTCTCTGTTACACTGCCTTTCAAATAAAAGGATATATAAATTAAAACTTTATAAAAAAGATCTGATAATTGAAATTTAAAAATTCCTCCTGTCAGCATATTGTTCTGTAAATCTTTTTTTTTTTTTTTAATTTATTTGGAAGGCTGAGTTACAGAGAGGCAGAGGCAGAGACAGAGAGAAAGAGAGAGAGGTCTTCCATCCGCTGGTTCACTCCCCAGATGGCCGCAACATCTGTAGCTGAGCCATTCCGAAGCCAGGAGCCAGGAGCTTCTTCTGGGTCTCCCATGCGGGTGCAGGGGCCCAAGGACCTGGGCCATCTTCTACTGCTTTCCCAGGCCATAGCAGAGAGCTGATCTGAAGTGGGCAGTTGGGATTAGAACCGGCGCCCATATGGGATGCTGGCACTGCAGCCGTACCTGCTACGCCACAGTACTGACCCTGCAAATCTTTTTTAAAAATATTTATTTATTTGATTTGGAAGGCAGAGTCTCTCTCTCTCTCTCTCTCTCTCTCTCTCTCACACACACACACACACACACACATACATACACACACACCGGGGTGGGGGGGACCTCCATGTACTGGCTCACTCCTCAAATGGTTACAACTGCCTAGGCAGAGCCAGGAGAGCTTCATTTGGGTCTCCCACATGAGTGCAGGCGACCAAGCACTTGGCCCATCCTCCACTGCTTTCTCAGGCTATGAGTAGAGAGCTGGATCAGAAGAGGAGCAGCCGGGACTCGAACTGGTGCCTGTATGGGATGCCAGTGCCACAGGCAGAGGGCGGCTCAACCTACCACACCACAATGCCAGCCCCCATTTGGTGAGTTTTGACAAATGCATCTGATTACACAGCCCACCCATACTGAATTATAAAGTAGTATATGCATTTGATATGGCGCCAGTTCAAATCCTGCTGCTCTACTTTGGATCCAGCTCCCTTGCTGATGGCCTGGGAAAGCACTGGAAGATGGCCCAAGCCCTTGGGCCCCTGCACTTGGGGAAGACGCTCTTGGCTCCTGGCTTCTGCCTGGCCCAGCCCCAGCTGTTTCGGCCATTTAGGGAGTGAACCAGTGGATGGAAAATCAATTTCTCTGTCTCTGTCTCTGTCTCTCTCTTTCTCTCTCTCCATCTCTCCCTCCCTCTGTCTGTGACACTATCTCTCAAATAAATGATTCTTTTTGAAAAAAAAAAAAAAATTAAGGCAGTTCATCCCCCAGGTCCCCAGCCCCTCCTTAGCCCGCCCGCCCGGTACTCTGTCCCTGTGGCTTTGTCTTTCTTTTTTCTTTCTTTCTTTTCTTTTTTCTTTCTTTTTTTTTTTTTTTTTGACAGGCAGAGTGAACAGTGAGAGAGAGATAGAGAGGAAGGTCTTCCTTTTGCCGTTGCTTCACCCTCCAATGGCCGCCACGGCCGGCACACCACGCTGATCCGATGGCAGGAGCCAGGTGCTTCTCCTGGTCTCCCATGGGGTGCAGGGCCCAAGCACTTGGGCCATCCTCCACTGCACTCCTGGGCCACAGCAGAGAGCTGGCCTGGAAGAGGGGCAACCGGGACAGAATCCGGCGCCCCGACCAGGACTAGAACCCGGTGTGCCGGCGCTGCAAGGTGGAGGATTAGCCTATTGAGCCATGGCGCCGGCTCTGTGGCTTTGTCTTTCTGAGTGTCCCAAGCAGGGGACTCGTGCAGCCTATACAGCCCCCCCAGACCGGACACCTGCCCCCCATAGTGGCTGCAGCACCAAGCCGATCCACACTCTGCTCCCTGCGTTGCGGGACTCGGGGAGTATTTGAGGGTCTGGGTTTTTGAGGACCCCCTGCCCATAACGTGGGGGCAGTGGGCGTTCTCTCCACCCCAGTGGCAGTGCTCTGGGTCCCGAGCATGGAGTCCCGTCCTTGGGTCACACAGCTGCCAGGCAGGGGGCAGGGGGCATGTGTGTGATTCAAACCCCGCCCCTCCTGTTCTGTCCCCAGGGGTGGGTCTCTGGGGGTGCTGTGACCTCCACTGTGGAGCCTGGGACTTGGGATCCTAACAGCATCCCCGGTCCCTGGGGATCCCAGCCTGGAGCAGGTGGCTCCCCCATTGCAGGGGGAGGGGCTGGGGTGCCTGCCGGTGTTTAGGGACAGATCTAGGATTTGACCCTGAGACTTTGGCTCTGCACCCTCAGGCCTCGGTTTCCTCATCACTCAGTCAGTCACTCACACATTCACTCCTTCATTAATTCACTCCTTCATTTGCGCATTCATTCACTCACGTGTTTGTCTGATGTTTACTGAGCAACCAGTGTGTGTCTCAAATTCTGGGAGCACAGCAGTGAGTGAGGCAG